GGATGGGAGTGTCAGAGACAGTGCGATTGGCACAGGACAGAGTGGAGTTTAGGGCTGTTGTACATAGGGTCGCTATGAGTCACAAGTGACTTGATGGCACATAACAACAACAACAACATGGCCTGGATCAGACACACCTTAGTCTCTGGACTGGCATCATTGCTCTTTAGCCCTTTGAAGGCACTAGTTTTTGGAAAAAGACATCGTACTGGGGAAAGTGGCAAGTTAGCGGAAGAGAAGACCTTGAAGAGCTGGATTATCACAGTGACAGCAGCGGTGGGCGGAGCGTGGCAGAGATAGTGAGTACGGTGCAGGCAGGCTGCCGGCTCAGTGTGGATAGATGTGGGTTGGAGTTGATGGCATCCAAGGACAACTTTATCTTTTCCTTTATTTATTTCTGTGGGTGTAGACTCCTGGGTTTGGCCTTTCTGCGTGGGGTACAGTCTGGTGTTGTGTGCTGCTGTCTCTTACGTAGCTCCAGCTCTGCCCAGGGGGCTTGCTGCGGGCTCCCGTGTCCTGGGTTGAACACTCCCTTGTGTCTGACAGGACATTGGAGATGCCCCCTTGCCCTGATGGGCCCTGGGAGCACCCATTGCTCCTGGTGCCTTCTGGCCAGAATGGTTTCCTGAACCCTGACTGCGCACTGGACGTGCTCCTTGCCTGGTCACTGCGTCTGGGCCTCGTCAGCCGACGGCAGGAGCCCACTCACCTCTGCGAGAGTGTGTTTCTGTGTGTAATCACACATCTGCATTAACCAACGGCCAGTCCTCAGGACCACAGCCCAGACCCAGTAGCACGTGGGTCATTCTAGCTCCCTCCTCTTGATTATCTGCTCTCATCCCGGCGGGGAGGCCGCTCTGCTTCCCACTGTCGGCGGAGCTCCGTGAAGCCTGCCGTGGTGGCCCTTAGCCCCTCCACACCTTAGGACGGGCTGGCTCCACTGGCCACTTGCTAGGTTTGGCCTCGGGGAGTGAGGGCCTCGTGTGGGGACTGAGCTTTCTTTCTGTCTTGAGCACCGAGCAGAACAGACAGGACAGAAAAGGTGGAAACTGTTAATAGTGATGGTCTCTGAGGTTCGATTCTCCCAGGTTTTCCGAAAACTTCAGACCAGCTCATCCCCACGTCTGTTCTTGTCTCACGTTGACTTGCTCAGGGGTCTCGGAGGACTCCCCTCACCAGCCCACCATCTCCCTCAGGACCTGCTTCTCCATGGCCTACCCTGGCTGGGGGAGCAGAGTGGCTGTCACTGTTACCAGGTCACTGCCTTCTCCCTTGTTCCAGGAGGGCGTGGGGCCGGGCGGCTCACGCACCATCAACAACCTCCGAAGATCTAACAGCACCACTCAGGTCAGCCAGGCTTGGTCCGGAGCCCTCAGGTAACCCTGACCCCTCATGGGTACCCCTGATACCTCAGCTAGCCTTTGCCCCACAGGCGGGTCTCAGAGATTGGGGCAAGGCCTGCCCAGGCTGTAGTTCAGACTCAGGCCATCTACAAGGGAGGATGGTTTGTGGTCAGTGAGCCTGTGGGGACGTTAACCAGCCCAGGCTCTGGGATACCTCTTCAGCGCCCATAGAGCTTGCAGCTGCCCCCTGGGCTCATGTCCTGTTCTTGTCCTGTTGGGGTACAGGACGGCAGAGCCCCCCGACTTCCTGGCACTCTTCGAGAGCAACAGCTTAGAGGGGAAGGGGCTGACCACGCTGGGCTCTGTCCCGAGCGAGCTGGGGGCCACGTGGCACATCCTGGTAAGGCTGGGCCTAGGCTGTGTCTTGCTCGGTTCACTCCTTCTGTCACAGGGCGGGCAGTGTGCGGGGGTTCCCATGGCCCTCCCTGCTGCTGCTGTCACCTTCACACGCAGAGCGTGGGGTCTAGGACTGCCAGCTCTTGCACTCCCCCACCCCTGTGTTGGGAGGGACGCTGAGGAGGTGAGAGAGGGCCCCCTGCCCCGTGAGATGACATAGCCTCTGGGGCAACTGGCCATGGGCTGAGTGGCCTCTGGGACATACAGGATGACCAGCCCCGAGAGTTGGCCCTGCCACCCACTGTCGAGTCCTCCGGCGCCCTCAATCCGTCGGCCAGCCTTCGGAGGAGAGAGTGCCCTGTGACCCTGGCACCCAGCTTCACGGCCAATAACAGGTACGATCGGTGTCCAGCACGCGGCCAGCAATGTGCTGGGGATGGAGGAGTGGACGTGTGGTTTTCTGTACCTTGATGTAAAGGGAGGGCACAGAGGCGCAGCTGCCGTCTGAAGAAGGAAGCAGCCTCCAGCTTGGAGGCTCAGATGACCCCCAGACTCCCTTAGCCTGCAGCCTTTCCCTCCAAAGGCCTGAGTCTTGAAGTTTGAAGCATGAGGGAGGCTCACAGGTGAACAAGATGACTTTTGAACTTTATGGGGGTCCTGGAACCCCGAGACCATCCTCTTGAACCTGGAGCTGAAGTGGCACCCCTGTTCTGGAGGTGATTGGCCGTGCCTGGAGCCTACTCACCTAGGACACAGCGCCAGGGTGTCGAGCAAGGGAGGACCTGCCTAGGGCCTGGCTGGTGACCGGCGTGGGGTAGTGGTGGAGGCTTGCCTGTTCCCGGCTGATGGCCAAGGTTTTGCCACTGTGGACAGAGGGTACAGGGTGACATAGACCCAGTACAGCCTACAAGGTGTCCTTTTGTGGACGTGGAGGCTAAGGTAGAAAAGGAGCAATCCTCTTCAATAAAGAACTTTCTGGAACCAAGAGCTGCCTACAGACAGCACTGTCAGGGAGAGTCTGCATGCGCTGGCCTGGCTGGACCTGAAGGAACACCCACTTCCAGTGTGGCAGTTGAAAGTAATCTGACAGGTCTCTGTCAGGCGCCACACTGGTCCCCATGTCAATATCCCTATCTGGCCACCATCTGCTCACCTAGTCCTGCCCCAGAAGCAGCTATAGCAAGTTGTTTCTTCATCCAGGCCCACCTAATGCCCTCGTGTGACCAGTGTCCAGCACCACCCCACTCCTGTGACCAGTGTCCAGTGCCCACCCCTCATGCTGAGCTGACCCTCATGTCTCTGCAGGAGCAACAAGGGTGCTGTGGGCAACTGCGTCACAGCCATGGTGCACAACCACTGCCCGCCCGCAGAGAAGACGCCCCCACCCAAGAGTTCCAACCAGACGGCCCCCTGCCTCAAGTAAGGCCCGCTGTGGGCACGTCGGGCCCCCTGCCTCAAGTCAGGCCCGCTGTGGGGCTTATAGCACACTAAGCTTTGAACGGACAGTTGATGAGTGGGCTCACTCCCATGGCACCCTCCCTGAGGCCCAGGTTAAGATCAAACATGGGGGCTGCACACCCCTGGGTGAGGGGTGAGGTGAGGCTGGCATGGCTGGGCTGTTCTGGGTGTGTCCCACTGCACCACACTGTTGATCCAAGTCAGGATGCCCCAGGGCCCCTGCTTACCGTTCCACTTTAGTAAATTCTTTGACAGGCCACTCACCTTGGGTACCCCTTGATGGGACCTGTCTCATTGGGAGGCCTACAGCCCACAGAGCACGGCAGGAGATCTGGCCCTTGCTGTCCACACTGGGTCCCCCTGCCTGGTACCTGCAGCTCAGAGCAGCAGGGACAAGCCGACGGTTCTGGGCAGCTCCTAGGGAGGACAGAAAGGGTCAGCAAGGGTGGTCTTGTCCTCGTCTATCAGCAACATCATCAAGGCAGCCACTGGCGAGGGTGCTGAGGGCAGCGGCTTCGGGAAGCCCCAGAAGAACATCCCCAACAGCAACCAGGTGGCCCGGAATAACACAGGGGGCCTACCCAGGAGGAAGGAGGTGACAGAGGAGGAGGCTGAGAGGTGACAGCAGGCGAAAGGCCGGGGCCATGTTGGGGCCTGGGGCCTAGAGGTCTGGGGCCTTGGGGGCTGAGGGGCTGAGGGCTGGGGGGGGCTGAACCCTGGGGAGCTGAGGGCTGGGGCCTGGAGGACTAGGGCCTGGGGGGCTGAGGGCTGGGTCCTGGGGGGCTGAGGGCTGGGGCCTGGGGGGCTGAGGGCTGGGACCTGGGGGGCTGAGGCAAGGGCATAGGTTTTACTTCTCTGGAGAGCTCAGTCTGGACAGACACAGAAGGGGGATGATGGTCAGGGGTTGAGGAAGGCCTGAGATCCCAACAAGGAAACTAAAACCTGTGACTGAGGAATTGACACAAGGTGACCCCATTTGCATTGGAGGGGAACTATGATCAGTGGGGTTTGCAGTGGCAGATGGGAGGAATCGCTGTGCGTCTCACAGAGACACACACACTCTGATTCTTAGCAAACCTTGCTGCAGCTTTACCTAACTGTTCGTGTCCTGTGTCCTGTATGTGCGTGGTGCTGGTCTCGTGCGTCCTGTGTGTGCTGCGTGAGGCAGGTAGGTCGGGTGTGTGTGCGTGTTATGCGGATTTTCTCTGTGCTAGCCTTGTTCATTTGCTCGTGCGTTGATGTGTGTCCTGTGCACGTCGTACGTATGCTGTGTGTCTGACCTGGGCGCACATGTCACAGGTGTGTGTGTTGTGTGTTATGCACAAGCACTGCGTGTGAGTGAGAGATCTGCGTGGCCAGGAGATGGCCAGTCCTTTCCTCCGAGCTGCCTCTCAGGGGACTCGAACCCCTGTATCCTCTGTCTGCCCAGCAGCTTCTCTTCACCAGCTGAGTGTCCCTGAGTGTTCACTCCCCAGGTGGTGGGCTCCTGGGCACCTCCAGCCTGGTGACCCTGGGAAAGCCACGTGAGGGTGGCACTGCTCTTCCTGTGGCCTCCTGGGAGTGCAAGCCTCTGCTTCTCGTGACACTGGTCCATTCTCTAGCACGTGCCGGGCCGTGGGCCACGGGGGACAGTACCGTCACCCCACCCCCAAGCCCACTGTCTCTTCCTGCAGGTTCATTCACCGGGTGAACCAGGCCGCCGTCACCATCCAGCGCTGGTACCGCCATCAGGTGCAGCGGCGCCACGCTGGAGCCGCCAGTCTGGACCTCCTGCTGGCGTCCAAGCGAGAGGTCAGCTCAGGGCCAGCTGGAGGGGGTGGTGTTCAGAACCCTCACTTCCCCGAAGGTAGATCCTGCCTGTGGGCTGTGAAGTGCTGTGCGTGTGGCCTGCAGCACCCAGGACAGGCCCCCGGGAGAGCTGTGAGGCTAGCTGTGGGGCTTCTCTGTCAGCAGCGACAGCAGCGGTCGGCAGGTGTCCTGGAGCTGCAGCAGCAGAAGGCGGCAGCGAGGAGGAAAACCCGGGAGGAGAAGGCGCGCCAGGCCCGGCGGGCGGCCATCCAGGTGCTGGGGGCGCATGCCACACCAGGGCACCCTCCCCGCTCCCCCTCCAGTGCCCCTCCATGCTGACCAGCTACTCAGAGCCGACCTCCTTCCCCAGGAACTGCAGCAGAGACGCACCCAGAAGGCCGCTGAGGCCGAAGCCAGCCCACCAGAGGGGCCCCTCAGAGCGGGGAGACCAAGGCCTGAGAGGGAGCCAAGCCTCGCCCCCCGAACTCCTGCCTCTCAGGTGCTCAAGACCAACAATGCAGGTGAGGAAAGCTCCCTCCACTCGGCTCTGCTCCCCTACCACAGCCCACACCCCCACAGCCACAGCCCATGCCCCCCATAGTATAGCCCATGCCCCCACAGTCCACACCCCTCATACCCACAGCCCACGCCCCCCATAGTCACAGCCCACACCCCTCACAGCCCACACCCCCTTATAGCCACAGCCCAGGCCCCCACAGCCCAGGCCCCCACCGTCCGCGGCCCCTACAGCTCACGCCCTGCTCTCTCCACCATGACTCAGTCTCCCAGAGTTGTCCTGTTCCCAAGGTGCACTCAGGTATGACGCTGTGTTCTGTTGCCCAGGGCCCAGCACCTGCATCGCACACCCTGAGCAGCGTGGCCAGCCAGCTTCCAGCTCAGCCCTAGAGCCCGCGTCCTCGCCTGGGGCCACCCCGCAGGTCTTGAAGCAGCTCTTCCCCTTTCTGGTTTCAGTCAGAACACTTCCATGCCAGGAAGATCTGGGGTCCTGCCCCCCAGTCCTGGGTCATTCTGTTTAGCCAGTTTGCCCTCAAGTGCACTCTGGCTCGCTGACCTTCCAAGGTGGGGTTTTGTGCCAGGATTCCTGGTGCCAGTGACCTGGTCCTTGGAGGGGAAGCCCAGGGTTAAGTGGTCATCCAGGCTCCCGTCATTCCTGGAGGGAGGGTTCCACCTTTTAAGGCCTAGCTCAAGGCTGGGCCCTCCAGTTCTGCTTGGCCCCTCACCTACTGATGGCCTGTTCGCCTCTTCTGCAGGACACCCAGAATATGGCCAGTGAGGACCTGGAAATGCAGCATCCCACCAAGCCAAAGGTGACCCTGGATGAGCTGCTGGACACACTGCGGCTGCTGGAGGCAGAGCCCGAGCCCCTGCCTCGGCCCCAGGCCTACCGCAAGGAGAAGTACGCCTGGATGCACGAGGTTAGCTCTGAGCTAGGGGCTCCCCGTGTCCAAGGACTTTCAAAGGGCCAGCAGCCTGGTGACGGGCTGTCCCCGGGCTTCCCCTGCTTGTCCCTGTCCTCTGTGGAGTCTAAGCCCAGGAACCTGATTCCTGCTTGGAGGGATGCTGTGGGAGTCAGGTGCCCTGTGCCTGCCCAGCACCCTGATGGGTCCCTGCAGGAGGACGCTGCCAGCTCGCTGACTGCAGACAACCTGGAGAAGCTGGGCCGGCTCAGCGCACGCCCGGATGACGGCACGCTGCTCTCGGAGGCCAAGCTGTACAGCATCCTGAGCTTCTTAGACGAGATGGAGCCGTCGGCACGGGAGCAGCCGGCCATGGGCCCCCAGCAGGAGGTGTGCTGGGCAGTGGGTGGGGCCCAGCGGGAGGGGTGCTGGGCAGTGGGTGGGGCCCAGCGGTGGGGGGGTGCTGGGCAGTGGGGTGGGCCCCAGCGGGAGGGGTGCTGGGCAGTGGG